TTAGTCAGTAAGGACCCTTCACCAAATATGTTTGTTCGGATAGGACCCCTCACCGATCAAGGCTTGTCCGGATAGGACACCGATCAAAGCTTGTCCGGATAGGACCCCTCATCGATCAAGGTTGTACGGATACCAAGTGTTGTCCGATAACCCTGCACCGGACATAGTGTTGTCCGAACAGGACATAGGGTTGTCCGATAACCCTTCACCGGACAGAGTGTTGTCAGATAAGATTAAAGTGTTGTCCGGTAACCTCCTCTCCGAACATAGTGTTGTCCGGATAGGACAAAGTGGTATAATCTCTTCAATAATTAAGAACTACCTGGTTGACTATAAATGGCGGTGTAAAGGCGATAGATAAAATGGCGGCGTAAAGGCGATAGATGAAATGGTGGTGTAACCGCGATAGATGAAATGGCGGTGTAACCGCGATAGATGAAATGGCGGTGTAACCGCGATAGATGGATTGGCAGGATTTCTAAGGTATTAAATTAACGTTGAAATTCAGGTTTGAACTATCTTGGGATTCGCAGTAAGTTATGTTTATAAGAGGGTAATTCGCTCACTAGACCCTTTGGTCTAACCCTCAATTGTTAAGAGGGTAATTCACTCACTAGACCCTTTGGTCTAACCATCAATTGTTGTACTAATTTGTTTTGCAGGTCACCCATCATCTCAGGATAAAGGCAAGGGGAAGATGTAAGGAAGAAATATTTGGAAGAAAGTTTTGTTATGACAAAATTTTTGTTAACACATATTGTTAATTTGTCACATGTAAATGCACCTGGAATGTTTGTATAATATTGGTACATGATGTATGGAAATGTATGATTTTTAATTATTAGTACTGTTTAGTGTGTGGTGGGATGTTTCACAAGTGAAAGCCGAACACCAGAAACCGTATGGATGTTTACAACCTCTTGAAGTGTTGGTATGGAAGTGGGAAGAGTTGACGATGGACCTTGTGACAAAATTGCCAAAGACGTCTAGACAGCACGACAGTATCTGGGTTATCGTAGACCGATTGACGAGAAGTGCTCACTTTCTTCCTGTCCGTGAGTCTTATTCAATGAACCGATGGGCACAGTTGTACATTGACGAGATTATTACGCGACATGGTGTACCGATGATTCTCGGTTCACTTCCAAGTTATGGACGAGTATGCAACGAGAGTTGGGAATGCGGATTGCCCTTAGTACCGCATATCATCCCCAAACTGATGGCGAGTCAGAGCGTACCATTCAAACATTAAAAGACATGTTGAGGGCATGTATACTTGAGTTTGCTGGAAGTTAGGATGCCCACTTGCCATTAGTGGAGTTTTCTTACAATAATAGTTGCCATTCATCGATTAGAATGGCCCCGTTTGAGGCTTTGTACGGATGTAAGTGTCATACACCTCTTTGTTGGCAGGAAATGGGTGAAGATTTTGGCGGGTCCTAAATTGATCCAAATTACTCGTGACAAGATCCTAGTTATACGAGAAAGAATAAAAGCAGCACAAAATCGGTAAAAGTCATATGCAGATAAACGGAGGCGACCAATTGAGTTCTCCATGGGTGATATGGTCATGTTGAAAGTATCACCTTGGAGGGGAGTTCTGATATTTGGTAAGCAAGGTAAACTAAGTCATCGTTTTGTTGGACCCTTCAACATACTTGAGTGAGTGGGAAAGCAAACTTATTGTTTGGAGCTACCGGAAGAACTCACCGAAATTCATGATGTCTTTCATGTGGGTTATCAACGGAAGTGCCTAGGTAACATAATGAGACAGTCCCCTGGGCAGAGGTAAAACTTGATAAACGGTTGAGATACACCAAGGAACCGGAAGCTATATTGCATGAAAGAACGGTGAAACTTCGAAACAAGATTGTAGACTTGGTGTTCGTCAAATGGAAGCATCACCGATGTCCAAAGTGGACTTCGGAGAACAAGGAAGAAATGAAAGCCAAGCATCCGGAACTCTTCGAGCGACAATGATTTCGAGGACGAAATCTTCAAAAGGAGGAGGTAATTGTAACATACACACTTTTATATATCAACTTAAATAACCTACAAATGATGTGTCACATGCTTAATATTGTTTAAATGGTTGGAATAGTGAAGTAAAGGTAGGAACACCTTAGAGTAAGTTAATGTAACGTGTTAAAGTTGGTAGAAGTCAAGAAAACAAAGTGTAGTACTCCATGGGCATAGATGTTTGGTAGATGTCAAGAAAACAAAGTGTAGTACTCTACGGACATAGATGTGCAAAGTATAGTGGCTATATAAGAAAGAATTTGCACAAATGTTTTTCTGAGATGAATTTTGGAAATTTGAGAGTTTGGGGTGAAAGTAGACTCAATAAGGAAGGCGTATACGAAAACCTCACTGAAAACGGAGGCCCGAGCAAAAAGTTATGAATGTTTAAGTGTTTGGTGGTCAAAGTGGGTACCCAACCGGGTCAAACCCGACCCAACTCGGGTTTTAGTAACCCTAAGTTAAAAAAAAACGAATTTGGCCCTATTTTCTTTCCCATTTTGTTTCTAAACTTCTGGAGACTTCAAGGGAACCAAATTTAGGTGTTTTTACGAGAAATTGGTAAAATTTTGTAAGATTATTGAAGATTTTGGAAGTATACTTCCATTCTTGACTATGTGTTCAATTTGAGTTCAAGAAACCCTGATATTATGTTGGATAGATGATAGATAACTTATTATCTTGTTGAAATCATGATTAAATTCCAAGAATTAGTTATTTATACATGATATAGTTTGAAATTTTTTTACTTTTAATAGTCAATATTGTATGATGATGAAATAGGTGGATGTTTGGTAAAATAATGGTGRATTCATGATGATTTCGTATAAGTTATGGTAATATAAGACTAATATATAAATTTGGTACAAAATGGTTTGGGATTTTAACATGAAATTGTGAAAATAGCTATTTTCGAGTTTGAAAGTCATGACACAGCTCTGTTTTAGAAAAATAGTATAAAATCATAGAAAAATCACAAAAATATGAGGTCAGAGGCATTGGAAAGCTAGGAAAGAGTACTAAAAATTGTCTTCTAAGGCTATTATGTGATTCTGAGGTTTTGTACCGTAAAACAGGCTTGAAAACAGAGTGTACAGGGGATTAATGTGTATTTGTCAAATTGAAAAGTGCTTAGATGGTGTAAATGGTAATGTTTGCTTATGATACTTGGTATGTGTACTCTAGGGGTTATATAAATCACATTGGGAGCATGTGACAAGTGTTTGCCCTATGGAAACTCGGAGTTGGATCGAGGCTTTCGGTTTGATCAACCGAATAGATTAAGCAACACTGTGAGTTTATGTGGACATATGGGTGTACTTTGTGATTATGGATGCTTATTTGCTTTCTTGTTCATCCATGATTCATGTTAGTTCTTGAGTATCCCCTCGAATTGTCTTATTGCTTGTATTGTTTTGCGGTCCGTTTTGGGTGCCGATTGTCTTCATCCCATGGATTCCAGTGAGACAATTGGAGGGGTTGCCGTACTCATTGCCCAGTGAGAGTCGGGGGATGAGTATAGGACTTTGGCATAATCCGGGAGATGAAGGGCGGAGTTGGTGCCAAGTCTTATGTTTGTGTGTGAAGTTAATTGGTATTTGACCTCGCATGATCGAGTATGATGTTGATTGTATTGATGTCTTTCTATGTTGAAAATTCTTTTGTGATTCTCACGTTGAAAGTAGATTGTTGTAAATGACATCATGTGGTACAACTAAGTTATTGTTGTGTCGTTATGCAAACTTTCTTTCGAGTCCTTCCTTTCCTAGTATGTACGTTTATATAGCACATTGTAACCACATATTTCCACATGAATTCACTAAGCTTTATTGCTTATCTTTTAGTGGTTTTAACTTTTCAAAGCAAGTCGACAAACGTAAGAACGTAAGTTGATCGATTAGGGATTGACATGTGAAGCCTACTTTTGGTATAGGTATATGTTATACTTTTGGGTTGTATATAGTTTGTATGTTCCGGGTAGACATGTCCCCGATGACTATGTTATGGTTTGCTATGTAACTATTAAGCCTTAAATTATGTATTTTGGGTTGTAAATTGTATCCCATATTTTGAGGTTTTTGAAACTGAATTAATTTAATGATGGTTGGGTAAGTATTTGTTATGTAACTGTGGAGTTACAATTAGTATAACATCTTTGAGATTGCATACAGTTAAGTGTGTTATATTTGTTATAGTGCATTGATTAAAAACAGTAAATAATTCAGGTGGTAACCATAAATTATCAAAACAATTTGCCTGAGGAAAGATTATAGCTATGAAATGTAACCTGAAAAGTTTTTGCTTCTACCCAGGTCTTCCTTTGGTTTAGATGGCACAAGAATATTAATTAAAGAATCATAGAACTTAACCTTGCTTTCATATAAATCTTTGGGTTGATAAGAACGTTTTTATTTGAGTGCTTAAATGTGTGTAGTATGTCTTGGAGAGAGGTTACAACAAAGTGGGAATGCGACAAATAGGCCAGAACCACATCTCAGAAATAGAATTACGTCAATGATAGGCAACATCTCAGAGAGAGAATTATATCGCTGTGGAAAGTTTAGGCCGCTTCACCTTCAGAGAAAAACCAAACAGAACATGCCCAACTGCACCTCAAGAACAAGGAGTTATATTTTTTTGGAAAAACTGGGTTTCTGGGCCAGTTTGCATGCACCTCGACTAAACACATGAGGCCTTGAAGATAACAGCCAGAAAAATCGTGATGGCCCTAAGGGAAGTAGGAGACTCAAACTGGTGACCTAGAAGGAGGAGCCCCAAGGTATTGCCTCTTATTTGCCGATTGAACTCCCTCAAAGTTACAAGGTGTCATTTTAGGAGAGGGTGTTAGGAAAACAGCTAACCTCTAGGAAGTGGGCCAATCACCATGTTCCATTTCATCATCAATTTAATTCAAAAAGGAGTATTAGGTCCTATAAAAGGATTATCAAGCCAAATATGATAGAAAATCAAGTGAAACTCACCGGGATCGTCGTATCTAGCTTTCCACCCCCTATGAAGGAGCCATTCTGAAAATTGAAGGGATAAACGTGCTTGCCAAATTTGTGATCCCGGTCACTCTTCCATGCGATATTTTTTCTTTCGATGTCCAATTTCTTTGTCCCACGTGAAAAGGAATATGTGTCGTTAAACAAACTCCATGCAACCAATCCACAAGGGACTATTGGGAGACCATTTTCAGATGCTTGAGGTTCACAAGAACCTGTTCTGTTGTACCCTAATCCATGCAGAAGTTGCTCTTCACTTCTACTTTTTACATACCTGGATCAGATGCATATTTGAATAAAATGCATCATTAAAGATAAATACCCAAAAAATGTATGTCAACAGCTAGTAAACCTTGAAATTTTGGATGAACTGCAAAAAGAAACAATGATAAGTAAAATGGATCTCCTAGGACCTTCCATCCTATGGTGCATCCTACAAGACCCGACCAAGTCATGGTGCATCCTACACACTCTATGTAAGAAGATATACATCTTGGTTTTGAATAGTCAAACCTAACTGTTCAAATTCAAAATCATATTGTAAACTTAACGGCAAAACAAATTCAATTTTACAATCAGTAGAAATAAAAACCATCTGGCAAAAGTTGATGTTGATAGCAAGCATACATCATAATTTTTGTTCAAAAAGAAATACCTCTTGGCTTTGAATGGTCAAACCTAACTGTTCAAAATCAAAATCAATAGAGATAAAAACCATTTGTAACAAATTAATGTTGATAATAAACATATATCGTATTTCTGTTCAAAAAGCACTAGGTTTGACATCAAAGAATCTAATGCATCTCCTGTTTGGGACAGAGGAAGAATGCAACACGACGATTGATACCAGAAGTCCAAAAAATAATTCAAAAAGAATAACTGTAACTCATTAGACAAAATATCCACGGCAAAAGAATGGAAAAGCACTAACCGCCTGTGGTTTTGATAAAAGTTGTCCAGCTGATAGTAGATGTAAATTGGAGCTTTCATATGCTTGTCCACCTAAATCAAAAATCAAAAATGCACAAGTGCACATTGAGACATTCACCCATAAATGGAGATCAAATAATCCACATACCCACAAGGCAATCAGATTAACAGAAGTTACATAGACTAATTGACATGCATCAAAAAGGATGTTTAAGTGGTCAACGCTATTAACTCCATGAAACGTGGGTCAGTAAACCACAAAATAAGATAGGGTAAATTCCTAGGAAACTTTCCTTTTCAAGAAGCATGTCAAGTCAATTAATCAGGAGAGGAGTAAATAATATACCACACAGGTCAACAGGTTAAACAGTATTCTAATAAAGACTTGGGGATAGAGATACACAAAGATGACATTGGGTGCAGGGAACTCGTCAGAACTGCAATGCAGAATTTGGCATCATTTTTCTTGCTGCCTTTTCACAGCATTATGAAGTTCAAAAATGCCTCAAAACATGGATTATGAAGGGAAGTAATATCAAAAATAGTCAACTACAAAAAAGAAAGTATCACCTTCAGATACCGGTGACAACTTTTTGGAATTGATGCATTCTTGATATAAGCTACCCTGTTGCTCTTGAACCCATCCGGTACACATTCGATATCATATCTGTCCAGAATTTCATTAACCTACAAGTTCAATATGAAGTAAGTTCATTTTGTCAGACTTTAGAATACTAGGTAGGACAAGTTACGGCAAATACAAAAACAAGATAAACAGCACAATTATAAGAAACAAGAAGTGAGCTTTACACTCTGTGAAGCATGAAGACAGATTAACCCAACAGGGATGAAAACGGCACCCATCAAAAAGAATGTTCCAATGACCTGAAAAGAACAGCATCAATCCAAGGCCCTTAGGGAAGTAACTACACTTAATCAGATATATTACCATCTGCTTCATCATTTTAATGTAACTCATAAATAGATATGAAGTGTGTTTATGCACTCACCCATGCTGGTGTTAGAACGGGTTTACAAGCTGGGAGAGTTTGTTGGGTGAACTGTTTTATAGCTGCAAAAGCACAAGTGACCATCATTAATCTGATATAGTGATGTTTGTGATGTCCAAGCATTTTATGAAGGAAAGATGTTTTGTCAATGACAAAGATAAGTCCGTGACTGCCATGGTAAGAAGTAATCCATAAAACTGATCCAGCCCACTGTGTGTATATGTGTGTATTTGTAACAGAGAGAAGAGAGAGAGAGAGAGAGAGAGAGAGACTGAGAGAGAAACTATAACGATAATTTCATAAAGGATGAAGTCTAGAAAGAGGCACAGTAAAAAAATCTATATGGAACTACACTTTCTCACAAGGTTGACGCCCCTACAAGAAGCTGAATGTAGAGTGTAGAGTGTAGAGTAATAGAAGATGGGAGTGTTTGCTAAGATGCATTGCAGAAGAGTGATTCAAATAATTGTAAGATAATCGAATACAATCTCTAAATGACATAGATTGTGAAAAAGTCTTAATGAATAATCATCCACCCAATTCTCCTATGATTCCAAATTAATACCATGGTGCCATGTTGATTTTTAGATTGCTTATTAACTAAATCTTTCTCTCAATCAACATAAAAGAATAAAAACAAATGTCCCCAACAGCAGCATGGTTTATGATTTATCAACAATAATAAGATTAAAGAGTTGTAGGAGTATACAATTTGAAACCTTATATACAAATCAGCAACGGGGCGGCGGTCAATGACTGACCATTATAAGAGAGATTAACACAATGCATCCAAATGTTATTAACAGCGGTGAATGTGATCAAGCCTGTGTTTGCGGTAGTCATCAGTCAGCTATGAAATTGCCATAAGACGAAAGGCCCGTACATAGAGCAGAAGTCAATTTAACTACCATACTGGACCACCACATCACCATAAAACCATTTAATGCCCACTACATAGCCAAAGATGAAGTCTTATTCAGGTAGTTCCAAAGTACATATGGTAGAAGCTTAAAAGAATTAATGGATCACAGTGGAGAGGCAAAAACAATTATAGCAGATGTGATACTAGACATCAACCCCTTTCAAACTCAAATCATCGTGTAATTTTTTATTGTACACGAGTATTATGTGCATCTTGGTGCAGGAATGGCAACATGACTAATATCTTTGGGATAACTTTGAAGGATGATGATTAATAACCCACGGTTTTGACGATGACGTGGTTGGAAACATTATGGTGCTGTTGATAGCTTCTCTACAAGTTATATGGATGAAATTGAGAAGATGGTCATTTTTTTGCAAAATTTCATTTTACGTTTTAAAATAAGCAAAAACCAGCCAACACCTACAAGGGAAATAAATAATTGATTCCATTACATGTTGCATCACAAAGGATGAGTCATTTCTTTCCAACCAAATCCCATTCATGTTAACCAAATGGAGCATAGTAATTGCAAACAACTAGGGCTTCCTACCATGCTACGGGTTTTCAAATTTCTTGGTGCCAAATACTTGCATAAGAAGTGTCCTACAAAATACAATCCTGACTCTCTAACTTGTGAGAACAACCATAACAAGTAACAACCAAGGAAATAACAAAAAGCATTAACAACACAGTTGATTTAAGTAGATTGCTCAAATCTGTGCTTAGGGTTCCAATACATCATTACTTCAGCATTTGTCTTGCATACCACGCCTAACAACTCTGAAAATAGATTAGTCTTGCAACGTCTATTAGTTACAAACTTATTCCTTTGCCGTTTCAAGAAAAACAAATTTATGAAGTCGAAATGACCCATTGAATAAAAACCTTTTTTCTCTCTTGGGAAGACAGGGAATCAAAAATAATTACCATTTGACCGGCCATGAAGAACTGGCATGGGCTGATGATCAGTGCCAGCAGCTGCCCCACCTCCTCCATCTAAATCCATGCTAATCAATTCTCTCTCAAAATCCTATTCAATTTAAAAATAATATAAGAACAAAAACACAGACTTAGTCATTTGACTTCAACATAATTTAAATTGAAACAACAAATTGAATCCTTAATCAACCCACCATTCGTAATTGGAAACTAATTAAGTGAATCAGCCCTAATCAAGACAAGATCGTACCTGTGAATTGCGAAAATGTGTAAAGATGTTAAGCAGAAATACACGAAGGAATCTTAAGTGGAGTGATTATTAGGGATATATTAGTTGGTTTTCTTCCGCGAAAGGACAAGGACAAGGACACATATACGCTTTAGCGCGTGCGGGAAGAGGGGTGTGGGGGCCGGAGCTGTTGGAACTGCTTTTTGGATTTGGAATGTTGAGGTTTTTTTTCCTTCCCTAACTAGGCATGGGGATTGCCCCCTTGAATGGATCAGGACCCGGTCCATCCGGCCACGTTTGGGTTTGGGTCTGGGTCCGGGTCCGGGTCCGAATTCGGAATGATTTCCCGTTACATTGGGGATCTGAATTTCCGTTTGTCTCAAATCGGAGATTTAAATTCGTTACGTATATTAATTAATAAATTATATATGTATTATTTATTTCAATTAGATCGATAATTCATAATTTTTTATTTTCTAACTAAAATTACAATTTGATATTTGTTAAAATTTAGATTTTAGTATGTAATATTTTAGATTTCAAATTAAAATACATTTACTTGATATGTTTTGGACATTACTCGATACGGTCTTATATTACTCAATATGTTTTGACACGTGTGAATTTGAATTTTTTTGGATTAATTTAAAATTCTTTTGGTTTTAGGTTATTATTTTATTACATGATGTTGTGTTTGTATTAGATTAAACTAGTATGGGAACCGCACGTGGCGCGGTAGTATGAGTGCTTTGATTAATGATCTGATGATTGTCTATATAAATATATATTAATTGTTAATAGAATCATCAACAAATCATATTCAAATAATTCGAAAAAGTTAAATAAAATATAGTTAGTGAAATTTATATATATATACACATATATATATATATTGAGAGAGAGATTTGTTTAGTAATAAAATTGTAAAACTAAATAAAATGAGTAATAATAACGACGGAAATATTAAGAAATCTGACACAAATTTAAGAATAAAAAATACTCCACATAAAGATATGTCTCCTTCAAAGGACGATGTACATTAGGGGTGAGCATAGGCGGGTACCCGCCCTTTTTGACAGGAACCGGAACCGGAACCGGAACCGGCGGTTCTTGAGATATTGGAACCGGAACCGGAACCGGTTAGAGCGGTTCTTGAATTTTTGGAGCCGGGAACCGGTTCCAGTTCCGGGTACCCGCTTCCTAAAATATTAAAATTTTGTTATTTAGAAATAAAAATAAAATATTGTCAAAACACTAAAATAAATAAACAAGAATACAAATTATACGGAATAATGGTTACAAATATTGTTTTAACGATTACAAACCATAATAGACTAATAGAAAATGTTCAAAGTTTAACGATTATATACTATAATTGTAAATGTTCAAAGTTTAACGATTATATACTATAATTTTAAATGTTCAAAACTTAACGATTACATACTACGAACTGTAGTTTAGTAGAACTAGAAAGTAGATGAAGAATGAAGATGACCGCGTCATTTGAAGATGTAACTTAATATAAATTTGGTATTGAAAAAAATCTATTATTTTTTTATTGAAAAACAACCGCCGGTTCCGGGTACCCGGCGGGTAACGGTTCCGAAAAACTGAGAACCGGAACCGGAACCATTCTCAATCGGTTCCGTATTTTAGGAACCGGAACCGGAACCACTCATATCGGTTCCGGTTCCGGAACCAGCGGTTCCAAGGCGGTTCCGGTTCCGCAAACGGGTACCCGATTCCGTTGCTCACCTCTAATGTACATGTACTATTTTTCATATTCAACACATAACTTGACTTTAAAAACACAATAGTGAATGGACCGGACCAACCATACGATATGTAAAAAATCACATACCAAACTTAAAGACTTCAAATCTTTATAACCCAATAGATAAAATTATAATGCAATCAAAATCATAACATGAACATACATAAAATTATAATACGACTAAACTTACGATAAGAACATACTTAAAAATATAATCCAATCAAAATCATGATACAAACATAAATAACATTCTAATACATTTTAAATTACAAAACAAACTTGCATAAAATTCTTACCTTAGATCATAATMAAAAATTCCCACAACCCAAACTTGAAAAGTTCAAATTTTCATGACTTGATATATAAACGTTAAAGAACTCGAAAATCTGCAAACCAAAAAACGTTCAACATGCATAAGTAAAAATTACATGGTGAACTTGAACATTTTAAATCTTTACCTAATACATAAGAGTTATAATGCAAACAAAAATCACGATACAAACATAAATAAAATTATAATGCAATCAAAATAATGAAACAAATTAGTATATATATTTTACCTTATATTGCAACCAAAAAATCAAATATTGAACTTGAAAACTTCTTTTCAAATCTTCATGACATAATGCATAAAAACTATAATGCAACCTGAATAACATAACGATACAAACATACATAAACTTATGGGAGAAGTGAAAAAAAAAACTATGAAGATTATCAATAGTAAAATAAAAGAAAAACCAAAGAGAAATAAAATAAATTTAGAGATGTATAAGATATAAATAGAATTTGAGAGGATGTGAGAGATGAAGATGAATAAATAGTTGTTGTTTATATGTATATAAATAAATGATTGATGAGAAAAGATGAAGGGTTTGGAGTTATGTCATATGAATTAATAGAGAAGAAGATGAATGGTTTGGAGTTGAATGCAAACATTTAACAAAAAAACATAAATTGACAAAAAAAAWATATAGTAGTGGATATTGAGAGAATGAAGGAGAAAAAAAGAAAAATGAGGTTCTAGGCTTTAGGAGAGACCACTTCAAACACTCATGGTTTATTCTTTAATATATATATATAATAATACATAAGAGTTATAATGCAAACAAAAATCATGATACAAACATAAATAAAATTATWATGCAACCAAAATCATGAAACAAATCAATATAAAATTATTACCTTTGCAACCAAAAAATCAAATATTGAACTTGAATACTTCTTCAAATCTTCATGACATAATGCATAAAAACTATAATCCAATCTAAATAACGAAACAAACATACATAAAATTGTGGGAAAAGTGAAAAAACAAAAAAAAACTATGAAGATTATCAATAGTGAAATAGAAGAAAAACCAAAGAACTTGAAACTTCTTCAAATCTTCATGACATATAATGTAATTTAAATAACGATACAAATATACATAAAATTATGGGAGAAGTGAAAAAAAAACTATGAAGATTATCAATA